CGGCAAGAAACATCCTTGCAAGTTCTCAGGCATAACCGTGTGGGAGCAGTGAGTATATGGTGACTCTTTTATAACCATTGCTGCAGGAGACTACTCAGCCACCCTTTTCTTCCACATTATCTGATGCGTGGTGGACACCCAAAAAACATCTCAGCTCCTGACCACGGGGAGCCCAGGATCACGACTGGCCCAGCCAAAATTGATGGGATTTTCCCATCATTTCATCGTGGGCTGGAATCTACTTCCCTAAGATCTCAGTCCTGTCAGATGCAAGCTCTTTCTCCCTCATCCAGCACAGCACTTAGGCCGGAGAACACTTAAGTGCTTTGAAATTCAGGGCAGGATCTAAGCCTGAACCCTCCTTCCTCCTCTACTGGTTTAATCTGGGTCATTCTAGTGTCATGCAAATTGCAACACTGACACGGATATTCTGCAAGCCTAATGGATTTTATTGTGCATTTATTTGCACTAAAAATCCCTCAACTATTTCATACTTTCCAAAGGAAACCTCAGGGTGTCACTTGAAATGCCCATGGCTGCCACTCATTGTAATTTACTAATCAGATGGATTCTTACGTGCACCTCCGCAACTGTTCAAGTGAATCTACACCACGCCTGCAAAACCACAACAGCCTAGGCTAAAATGTCAAAGGAGCCTCAGCAACCTGGATGTTTCAGTCCAATGACATTTAGGTACCCAAGAGACGAAGGCATTTTTGGAAATGTTACCCCCACATGGATTACTCACAAAAGGAGGCCAAGATTTCTTTCATCCACAGGAGCCGTAAATTAGGCTCTTAGGGAGGTACTTGCGAAAGTGCTGAGAGATGGTCTAACTTTGCTCCCATTTAAGTCAATGCTGGAACAGAGTTAGCCCAAAGTCAAGTGCTTTTTAAAACCCCACCCTATAATTGCTCTTTATTCTCCTAAATAAATTACTGTATTTTCAAATGTCCTGAGCACCCAGAAGCTTTTGCAGAATATACCATGGCAAGGCCAGATTAAGAAAGATGCGAAACCTGCAAAGGTATTTAATAATTGCTTAACTAGTTACAACCATCAATGCCCTGGACAAAAATGAAGCATCCTTTGCAGTGTTTGATCACAGAAGTGCATAAGAACCACACACACACACACACACACACACACACACACACACACACACACACACACACTCCCCACCCCTCCCCCCTTAAATCCACTCAGCAGGTACTGCACGGTCATTTTAACTTTGTAAAATGAGCAGTAATCGCCAAACTTTAAAGCTGCCAAGAAATTCTTGTTCCATATCCATGACGCTGGATTTAGCCAAGTTACACAGTGCCGCCAGTCCATCCCATGTGAGATGTTTGAATTGCAATGAAACACACACACATACAAATTGGTCATATTTCTAGATAATATTTTGGACGTTTATTGGATGATAGTTGGGATTTTCATAAGTATGCAAGTGATTTTGGATTAAAGTCAGTGGCTCGGGGGCTGGAGTGTGTGGGGGGGTTGTGCTTAGGTCCTTTTTCAACTCTCTCCTAATTGTTAAAGTGATGCAGGCTGGATTTCAGAATCACCCTTTTTTTCAGTAGGTGGTGTCATCAGAAAGCACAGAGTCAAATGAACCTCTGTAGTAACTTGGCCGACTGGGTTGGAGTGACACCAGGGAATCATTTGGCCCACTGCAGAACTGAAAATCTTGCCTACTCTTTTGAAATTTGCCCAATAAAAGGCCTGGTTCACCTCTCCCTTACACTGGTTTTACTGCTCATGTATCTCCAGAGAGCAATTAAAAAACAGCGAATTAAGTGAGAGGCAAATGCTGCCTTTTTCCTCGTCTATTACACCCTTCGATCATAATTCATCCTCACGTTGCTTCGACAAGGAATAGCAAATGCTACAGTGAGTACTGATTATTAATAATTTAGTATATTTTGTAAAAAATATTAACTTTACAGGTGGGACGTTCCTGCTCCCATCAACTTTGTTTGGCAAACTCCCACCTACTACCGCTGATCTAAAGTGTGTTGTAATAAATAATCAAAGCTAACATTTAGTGCAGTCAACAAAATAAATGAACAAAATGACGGCATTTGATGGTGCAAGAGCCTGGCTTCTTTCATTAATTATTCCCATGCTAATGAGCAATGTTCAGTCATTTGCAATAGGTGTCAGAATCAAATGCCTGCCTTCAGCAAAGTTTCCACATGCCACATTTTTACTTGCTCTTATTAACGCATGGTATTGAATAAGCAGTGCCTGTATCGTGTTGCAAAAGAACCAGGGAATTATAAAACCTAGCTCTTATATAGCACTTTTCATCAGCAGATCTCTAAGGATTTTACACAGGTCAGTATCATCCTGTTCCAAAGATGGGGGAAACTGAGGCAGCGAGCAGTGAAGTGACATGCCCGAGGGCACCCAGCAGTGGCAGAGCCAGATCTCAAGTCTAAATCCAGTGCCCTTTCCACTAGGCTATAAATTGCTACTTAGCCTAGTTACAGTAGCTTTGGCTCCTTTTTCAAATACTCCAAGGCAAAAGGGAAGGTAGGCAGGTGATGTGAATGGGCAGAAGCAACACACACCATGAAGGGCAAGTAACCATGGAAATTGGCTCCTTTTCTTCTCTCTTCCTTTTCCCACTGGGAGTTGTCAAGCCAGCTGAACAAGCCCAGGAGTGTGGGCTGAAGGAGTCCAGGTGAGCCTATGCCATGTTCCACACAGACCCACGAGAGTTAAACAAGGGCTTTAGAACTGTCCTATGGGAGCAAGCATGAGCGGGAGATGTCAAGACGAGAGCGTAACGCTGGTGAAAGGTCACGCGGGCAGCAGCCCTGCAGATTTCTCTGATGGAAAGATGCAGGGCAAGTCATCAGAAAGAGAGCTCCAAGGACTCTGGGTCCGATAACCTGGCTGATACGTCGTAAGGCATGGGCGTCTCTGCTTAGACCGGCAAGCCACAAGCCAAAGAAAATAAAATCGCCAAACCCTCTTGAGCGCAGGGGTGGTGCGTGCCCTTGAGTAAGAATGGGAGAACCCGGGCTATGAATAGTGCCTCTCAGGGGAAACGCCGCCTTCGTGCTCAGTCTGGAACGAGGCTGTGGGACAGCTTTGTCCGTGGGGCGTGCAGGGAGCGGAGGAAGAGCCCCTGGAGCCTGGGACTTGGTCAGTCTCTTCCCACAGGCGACAGTGATTGAAAATGCAGCCTTGCCTTGCAGACAGAATGGGCGCACCACCCAGGGCTCCTCCGGGGAGTTCATGAGCCTCGCCAGCACCAGCCTCCGGCGAGAAGATATGAACCTGACCTGTCAGGAACGTGGCTCCAGTGAAAGGAGAGAGCCGCAGAACCATGCCCTGGCGGATGATGCGTGGAGGCGGCAGGCAGGTGCACCAGGACAGGAGAAAAGGAGAAACCAAGAGATGTTCGCTGCGGTGAAAAGGCCAAAGCAGATTATAGCGATGCAGAAAGTGAACAGAGTCTCTGCTGCCCTAGAGAGAAAAGCTTCACCCCCGTCTGAGCATAACATGCTCCTGCAAAATCCCAGAGGCTGAGCAGCAGCCTTCGTCGCTTTTATTCTCTCTGGTGTCTCCGCCATCTTGAGTCTGACACACACTGCAACTATCAAATGGGAGGTCTTCCACAAGCGCATGAGGTGAAAAGCCCCTCACAGCTAGCACTCCGAGTGCTCGAAAAGGAATGGAGGGTAGTTTGCCCACTGCAACCCACATGGCCCTCTGTACAGGGCATGAGGACAATGAGAGCACGCACGGACCACAGGAGCACTGCAGCCAAAAATCTCCAAACACACACCCGGGGAGCAATTCCTAGGGATGCTGCTCCCAGAAGGAGAACCCCTGTGGCCTAGGAAAATTCTTTTAACAATCTCCAAATGATGAAAAATTCATGGAAAAAATAATTTAACTCCAAGTTTCAAAGCAACAATAATCCCCACCGCTCAGCTGCATTATTACTCAGCTGCGTTACCCACATACGGACAGTAATCGAGGAAACGACATACAAACCGGTCTATGAGGAGATTCGTTCATACGTACACACACACACAAGGAATCCTTTCCACTTGCAAGGGATTGTGGGATTTGGATTCTGGGAGAATATTTTGCCCATGGGGTGGTTGCGGGCTGGAAAAGGGGGAGGCTAGGCGCTTTGTGCTCTGGGGGAAGGCACCAAAGACATGTGCTGGTCTTGCTTTTCTGGCCTTGTCCCCACTGCCCGGCAAGTGGAAGAGATCCAGGCTCCCGCTGGGGCCTGATGAGCAAGGAGCCTGGCTATTCTAGCCCCTGGAGCATACACGCTGCACTGTAACCCTGCCGCCCCACATTCTCCTCGCCCCAGAGCCTAGGAGGAGGGGGGCTGGAGAACCAGCATAGGCTCCCCAAGCCTTGGGAACCAGATCCAGACAAACCGGTGGCCACATGTGCCCCTGGGATCCAGGCTCCCGCTGGGGCCTGATGAGCAAGGAGCCTGGCTATTCTAGCCCCTGGAGCATACACGCTGCACTGTAACCCTGCCGCCCCACATTCTCCTCGCCCCAGAGCCTAGGAGGAGGGGGGCTGGAGAACCAGCATAGGCTCCCCAAGCCTTGGGAACCAGATCCAGACAAACCGGTGGCCACATGTGCCCCTGGGCCTTTAGGTTCCCCACCCCTGATCTAGGAGGTTGAGCATGACACCCCTCTGAGCAGAGCAGTGAGTGCCTTGGTGGGGCGTGCAAAGGGTTTAGCAGCTGAGTTCTGACTCCAGAGCACAATCCACTCGGCTACGGCGGCGGCGAGGAACGTGGAGATTCATGATTCCGTTCCAATCCAATTTAAACCTTGGGCTTGTTCACCCCTTGCACTGGGCCAGTGCCCTGGAGCCACTGCCGCCAATCACAGGATGCCCCAGTCACCCCACTGTGGAGGAATCCTGGCGCGATACAGGTAAAAGCACCACACTGGCTCCTATGCCATAGCCTCTCCCTGGGGAAAAGGGCCTGTGGCTGGCACCTGAACATTCCCTGGTGGCCATGTTTTCCTGGGCACCCGGTGTAATTTACAGCAGCCTGTAGGCTGCTCTGACTTGCACCAGAAGACCAGCCTGGCACACTGGCCATGGCAACAGAAACACAAAAGTAGCTTAAAAAAGTCCCCTTTGCACCCTTGTCTCTCTCGAACTGCAGTGCTTCTTCACAGCAGGCTTAGGCATCTGTACTATCACACATTTCTCCTCTCTTCTAAAAGCAAATACCCAGGAGCTGGGAAGCAGAGTACCTTGAAAATAATGTGCAGTACATCCTGGGCTACATTCCCAGAGGGAGGAACGACATAGCTCCAGGCTCTTCAATGCTCATTTTCACCTTCTGAAAATCTAGCCCACCCTATCTGCTACACTGTAATGCCGCAAGCAAACCAAGCTGCAATATGGGTCAGTACTCCCAGCTCGCTCTGAGTCTGTGGAGTTTTGCCCCCTGATGTCAATGGCGGTGGGATCTGCCTTTGTGTTTTCTCTTTACTTGTTTCACTCCAACCCTTCGAAGGACATAGCAACACTGGCCAACTGAGAAAGGACGCCTATTCCAAACAATCCCAGAACCTCACCAACCTTCAGCTCGCTCATCTGCCCCCCTCAGAACTCTTGCCATAAAGCTGGGGGGCTCTCCAGGATTACTGAACGGCCACAGGCTGCCGTAAAACCGCATTTTAACTAAGACAGCATCCGCTTTACAAAACAGATCACAATCCATTTACAAGTGCACTCTGGAGTAGTGCGATAAATAATTAACACCATTCCGCAAGCAGAAAACAAATAAATAAAATGCATTTTGCGCTTCACTTGCCTTTGACTTTTCAAACGGCTTGAAATTCACTCATCTGCAAGGAATTCCCCAGTCATGAGCACAAACTAGCCAGCTTCTGCTGCGTGGACCGAGAAATATATTGTATGGCAGAATGTCAGCCTCTGCTGGGATGATCCACAATACAAACACAATCCAGGGGCAGCCAGGAAATCTTAAAAGCCAACGCAAACTGTTGTAGCGGTCACTGTTCTGCCTTTTCAACCACTGCACTCCACTTGCAAAGAAGACGAGTACATGGAGACCTTGAGTAAGGGTTGGAGTAGAGCTGCAGTACCCCTAGGAGGTGAGCAGGGATCCCACTAAGTCGCCTCTGCACCTTTTCAGTTTCTGCTGTACTGTTCCTGTAAGGAATTGATGCAAAACAATTGCACAACTCAAGGTCATCTCCCTATGTAATGACATTTCATCGTTCCAGTCTTCTCTCTCAGTATAACTCAGTCGCTCATTTACTCCCTTTTTTTTTAAACTGCTACTGTACAGTGAACTTAGTCCAGAGTGTCTGATCAGCTACTCCATGATGAGTAGCTCAAATGATTTCTTCCCATGTGTATTAGCCCTGCCCTTGCTAAGAGAATTTCACTTCCCAGCATGCTACTCTAGTACGTCATTTTGGCCCTAATTCAGGAAGGGTTCTCTTTAGGCAATGGGCTTAACTTTAAGTAGAAAATAGAGGTCTAAAAACAACTCCAAACACTGGATGATGTTGACCGGCTCCCCTCACATCTCTGTAAACCGCAGTCACCCCCGGGATAGCCTCTAGCTTTCTACCATAACAGACTGCAAATTCTTGTGAGCCGCCCAGCCTCGGGGAGATGTGCCTCTTCTCTGTGGTAGAGGCACAGAGAAATCATTTAGCTTCTCTGTAGGTCCTTGTCTTCCTTAATTGCTCCCTCTCCTGCCTGCTAGTTTAGTAATCTAGAATAGTTTAATGCCCGTAACTAATCAGTCCTTGGCCTATCTGCTGAGCCCGCCCACAAATATACCCTCTGCAGTGAGGATCTCTGTGATGTAAACACCAACCTCTGCAAAAAGTGGACTTGAGATACCTAGAGGTTCCTTCAAGGCCACCTACTGCGGTTATATGGATCTGGACTATCCTAAGGATTAGCTCCCCGAGGTGGGCTGAGCTGTGTAGGCACAAGCTGGGTGGACACTGGGAAGAAGCAAAGGTGTCTCATAGGCTGCGTCTACACTATAAAGAAAAGTCGGAAAAACCTCTTCTTTCGGCACATCCTCGTACAGTGAGCTTTGCAGGGATGGCGGAAGCACGTGTCCAAAAATTGTTTCGGAGAAGCGGACGCTTTCCTTGGCATAGCTTTTCTGGGATACCCGGTATCCTGGAAAAGAGCTGCAGAGTAGACATAGCCATAGTCACCTTCATACTCCCCAGTTTCCGACCCTTGGAAAGCTGAGTTATACAGACACCCCGGCCAAGTCCCTTTTTCCCCAGGCCATGCCCTTATATAGGGGACACGAGTTACTATTAAAGAAAAATTCCACAGGGGACAGGTTTTGTTGGCCCAACTCTTCTAACAGCCAGGGACAGAGCAAGTGGTATGGGAGGGGGGTTTCAGACCTTGGCTCTAAGACTAGTCTCTATTCCATTAAATCTGAGTCATAAGGCCTTCTGCTCCAGCCTGCTCCTCCACAACACTTGCGAAACATTCAAGGGATGGTTTACCAGGCTTCCTTTCCAAAGAGAAGAGGCAAACGCCTCCCTCCAGACCAGAGACACTGCAGAATACCTGTGCCTACTAAAAAGGAACCACAATTCAGGAGGGAAACTGATGAACAATTCATGTTAAAACTACACAGCAGCAGCGTGAGAACATATTGTTGAGAAACACAGGGGCTGTCATCTGCAACAGCCTATTGCTTAATGAAATGGAAAAACACAGTTCCTTCTGGCTGAACCAACCAGCCAGAGAGACATGGCTTTGGGCACCCCCATTAGTCCCCCCCAAAAACCTTTCACGTTGAAAAACCAGCTCTAAGTCTGTATGCCCAGCATTTCCGGTGATTCTCATCTTTTAGTCCCTGGGTATGTGTGGGTCCATCCTCCAGTCCCCTATCTGTGTATATGGCCTCCCATCACTGTTGTACAAGTACCAGCACGTTTCACGTCGCTGGGAGATCTCCCGGGTCAGACTGTAACTAACCTCCTGCAGAGAGCGATCAGCTCCATCTCTGCAACCGTGCAACAATTCATTTTCGTCCCTGCAGCTAGCATTCACTATGCTGCAGCTCTCGCCCAGTGACTTCCCCCCGCTGCAACGAGAAAGGTCACAGGTGACTTGAAAGTCACGCGCCAACAAGAGAGGACAGAAAGGGAGGAGACGTGCAATAAAGCAAGGAGTCCTACTCCCACCCCTTTAAAAAAAAAAAGAGGCGCTTCAATGGTTAGAGGATAAATTAACAAGGCAAAGCAAATCAGGAGCAAAGACCTCTCCCACAATCTGTACAGAAACAACAAAATATACAACAGGAAATGTCACTACCACCCCATTCAGGCAGATGCACTGGTTTGTTTTGGTCAATGACAGGCGAGCAAAAGAAAAAGTTGACCAATGGTATTTTGCTGCATGGCTGTTGCACCAGCTGGCTCATGCAGTCTAAGTGACCTTCTGTTTGGTGCTGGGTGTCTCTGGCCTGTAGTCCTTCCTCTCGGAGATGTTTCGCTTCACCTTGACGCTCACTGGAGATTCCTGATTTAATGAGGGGCTCGAATGGGATTTCTTCAGTCCGGACCCATCATTTTCTCCACTTCTCAGCAGCTTCTTCCCCCCTTCTTTCAGCAGGGCAACATAAATCTCATAGCGAATTTTCTGGAAGAGGAACAGAGGAATGGATCAGTCTGCGTGAACGTCTCTGGGCTCTGACAGGCAGGAGGTCCGCACGGGTCATCAGACTGGCCCCTTGAAATCAAGGACCCTAACATGTATGTGAACAATGATGCTGAACATAAATCACGCCACACAGAAAGTGTCTGAGCCAGCCAGAGCCCAGGGATGCTGTACAAATGCCAACGTTTATTCCTCAACCATGCAGGTTTTTGCTCGGTACCTCATAGCCCTCGGCCAGTAAGAATGCAGGGAGATTCACAGAACTGGTGGAGATTCACAGAACCCCCATCCTGACAGTTTCTGAACAGCCGGGCAGGGCAAGCTGAGCAGTAAAACCCTGCTCCGCCAGCAGCACTGATTAAAGAAAACAGGGCTACTTGTGCAGCACGGCATTACTCAGCATGTGCACACATGGCCCCATGGTCCAAGGCCGCGGTTGTGGGGCCGCTCAGGAGAATCAAATGCCGCCCAGCTGATTAGCAAAGCACCCACAGATGGCAGCGTGTGTTTCTCCTGGTGGTGCCCATTCACACATGCCTCAGGGCACATACAATTTTTATTCTGCAAATGGATGGAAAAGATTAGAGGGAACACTGGCTGCAGCCTCGCGGTTGAAAAACACTGGTCCAAAAGGGACTGAATCCATCTTCTCAGCTTGGCCACTGTCCTCAGAGCTCTCCAAACTTCTGCGGTCATGACCCACCTGGCCACCCTGGGCTCTGCTCCTTCTGCCCCAATCCATGTGACCCTAGATATTAAAACACTGGATCGCACCCCTGTGTGATTCTCTGAACGCCGAAGGATTCTCTATGCTTGCCTCTCCCATAGGCTATGTCTAGACTGCATTCCTCTCGTGAAAGAGGAATGCAAATGAAGCTGGTCAAAAATTCAAATGAAGCACGGATTTACAAATCTCACATTTCATTTGCATAATCGCCTGCGAGCGCTTTTGCGAAAAGGGTTTTTTTGGAAAAATAACCCACGCAATCTAGACGGGGTTCTTTCGAAAAAAAAACCCAAACCCTTTTTCAAAAGAACCCGTACACCTTATTTTTTCAGGAATATGGGGCGAGTCATAAGGATGTTAAATTGTGATTATCTGGCTAATCATGCAGTGGATACAATTTGCATCGGCCACACGATTAGTCGATAAGAGAGCCCTCTGCAGAGCCACGGCGGGAGCCAGGACTGAGCAATCCCAGCTTGCCCAGGTTCTGACCCGCTGCGGCTCTGCATTTTAAATCCCTAGGGAGCCATAACCCCCATCCTGCCCTCCTGTGGTTTACCAGACTCTGCTCCGTGTTCAGGCAGTCATAGCTTTATGCATGGCAGAAGCACCCAGTCCTAATTTGATTGGGGTCTGGACTAACGTGCTTCCCCTACGCAATGCCACAGCATTCATAGGAATTTGCCAGCGGGTGTTTAGCAAAGTTAGGCAGCGTGGCTGGTGATGGGAAAGGGGCAAAATCCATCCTTCCTCTGGGTAGGAGCTATAATTAAAGGAGATCGCAGTGGATCGCATACTTCTCTTCATTATTAATTCATTTTCCAGAGTAAAAAAATAGTCTCTATTATGTTCCTGACAGAGCCAAAACATTGAAAGAGAATCCTCACCATTGCTAATAAACCACGAGCACTAATAAGCATAATTATGGGAATGCAAAACAGTCAAAAGCAAGGACAAAAGGAGATGAGAGAACGTGAGCAGGTTTCCGAAAAGTCCTCGGAGAAACAGAATCTCTCCGAGAAGGATCACAAGAGAAATCCACTATCCCACAAAACGCAGGGAAAGCCGTCTCTATCGGCTCCCTCCCGGGTGACCTGGCCCAGCGCCGCGGAGACAAACGAAAGAGGGATCGCGTGTAGCTCACACAAGGCGAAGCCAATAAGCAGCATTCTGATGATGCACCATACTTCACTGCGGAATGCCTGGGCCAGGTTGGCAAGAGAAGGAAATTGTTATTGCCACAAGTGCTGGCTCATCAGAACATCGATCAATATAAGGAGAACTGCATTAGCGCCGTAGGGCTTAAATGATTAAAACAAACACAGTGCGGGTCACAAGCCTAAGCCAAGGTTAACAACAGAAATAAAACCCTGAGCCGCAATCCTGCCCCCCAGTTAAGTCCATGGGAATTTTGCCATTGATTTCAACAGGGCCAGAATTCCCCGGCAGCTGTCTGGCCTCAGCCTCGATTTAAGCAATGGACAAATACAGGCGCGCTGTAACGTTAAGCTGCAACCCAGCTCTCTGTTACTCCGGTGAGAGGAGATAGTGGGCCTGATGCCCAGCTGAGGGGCGTATCATCACTGGTTAAAAAAGTCATGCTGAGAAGCCTCATCAAGAAAATAAGAATGTTAAAGGTGCAAAGGGAAATACATAGAAGTCTAAAATGCTCATGCAACCTTATCTTTGCCCCTGGGTGCATATGGCTTACAGGGGTGGGGACCCAGTTTTGGGTCAGGGCCACTAACCCATGGAAAAAAAAAATCAGTCAGGGCTGCATACAAAAGTGAGAGGCAAAAAAAAAAAAAAACCACCCCTCACGGCCATGGCCCCCGCTTGAGAAGGAGGAAGACACTCTCCATATTCCCCTTGCACACCAGAGCCCCAGCCTAGTAGATTTTGCATGGGGTGGGGAGGGAGGGGGTGGAGTGCCAGATCCCCAATGCTGAGGGGCAGGGGCTGGATCCAGGCAAGCTGGGGGCTGTATCTGGCCTCTGAGCCTGAGGTTCCCCACCCCAGAGTGCAGTCTTCAGCAAGGCAGCCACACAGCACAGCCTGTTCCTCCTCCGATCTAAGCCAAAGATAGTTCAATACACGGAACAAAGGGAAACTGCTTTGTTAGCAGGACTGATTTCTGCAGAGAGCCAGAGCGGGAGGGACGCGGGCTGGTGAAGGAAAAGAAATGACAAGAGCTCAAGAGAAGAGGAACCTGTGCTTCTCCCCACCCCGCCTCGGTACGGTCAGTCCGACAATTACATTTGCTCCAAGTGATGGAGAAGCAAAAGGAAGATTTAAAGTGCTGGTTTTTCACAGCGACCGCCGCTTTCAGCTGTTGGGTGAAATCTGTGACACGTGTGGAAAGAGCCCAGCTGCACATATTAGCGGGTTAAAAACACCCCTCTCGCGGGGGGCAGGTAGGCAGACCCCCGAGCTATTCACACAGAGTATTCGCTCCGCAGGATTCATTTGAGGTTCTCTCCAGGAGAGAGGACATTAGTTGGTACTATCACCGGATGGCTGGTCCCTGCGGATAGACTACACCCAGCTCACTGGCCAGGAGCCCAATCCACCCAATTAAAAGAAGGCTTGGCCACATCTGGGCCTATATAGAGCTGCTAGTAGGCAGCTGGGGAGGGAGGGAAGAGACATGTGGAGCCCCAGAAGGGGAGCCCACCCTGGAGCAGAGCTAGCAGCTGCAGCAGGTCCCAGGAACAAGGGGCCAGGGAAGCAGTCCTACCGCCACTACTCCACCAGAGGAGCAGAGCTTGCTGAGGCAGGAAGCCTGCAGGAGCTGGCAGGCCAGACACACCCGAGAGGGGCGACCTTGAAACCTGTCTCTGAGCTAAGACCGGGTTCTGCTTCTCTGTTAACCTCTGCTGCGAAAAGCAGCCTCCCTGCAGAGCCGGGCTTGGTGACGCAGGCTCTGGAGCTGGGGAGAAGCAAAAGCCCTGGCGGCTGCTATCGACCTGTGTGTGCTGTGTCCTGCGGCACGTGCCCGCGTCTCTCCATGCCTCACGGCTAAAGCCTGCTAAATATAAACAGGCCCAGAGAGAGGGCAATAAATCTTCCCAAGTCAGACACATACAGGGCTCCCTCCGTACGCATGGCTGCAGTCTGATTTTCAACACCGTAGTCAATGCCTGTTATTTAACCTCTTCCCTTCCTGCTTTACCTGTTCGTCACCTGTGCACCCCAGCCAGAGTCAGGAGAGTACAGTGTATCTAAGACGGAGTGGCCAGTACTACGTTTAGAAGGGCTGTCTCCCTGCTGCTTCCTTCAGAACACACAAATGAATGAATATTGCTGTTATTTATATTACAGCAGTACCAAGATGTCCCAGCTAAGATTGAGGACCCACTGAATTAGGCTCTCAGCCTGCCCACGGGAGCTTATAACCTAACATCAGAGAAAAGACAACGGGGGAAGGAAGCAGCATTATTCCCCACTCTACAGATGGGGAACGGAGGCATGGGGGGGCTAAGTGACTTGCCCAAGGTCACACAGGAAGTCTGTGTCAGAGGCAAGAACTGACTCCTACGCTCCTGAAACACTCCTGCCTGATGAGGTGACTACAGTCAAAACTCTCTAACTGCTCAAACTGCATCAAATGCTTGTGGCATTCATATCTGCATGTGCAGGGGAAGCTGAGAGTACATTGAGCAAGCTGCAGAGTTTTCCTCATATTTGCCATACTAACTGTTTGTCTAGGTCTAGCTTTGACTTAAGTGTTAATGAGAGGTAGTGTGGCCGAGAGATGCTTGCAAATACGTATTAGTAACACACAAAAAGCCCCTCTTTGCCACACTGATAATACATACATATTATTGCTGTCTATTGGTATAGTAAATACTAGAGTATTATTCCTTTTCTTAGTTCTCAGAGGAGTTCCATATTTTCCAGAGCTTCTCTCCAAGAGCACATCTACACAACAGGACTAAAACCGAAATAAGCTACGCAACTTGAGCCACGACAATTGTGTAGCATAAGTCGAAATAGCTTATTTCAGCTTTTGGCACTGTCTACACAGCAGGAAGTCCGAGGTAGAGCACTCTTCCCCCGACTTCCCTTACTCCTCATACAATGAGGATTACAGCAGTCAGGAGTAAGAAGGCCTCTAGCTTGACATTATTTTGACATATCAAATAATGTGTTGACACGGACTATGTTATCTCGGAATAACGTTAGTCATTCCAAAACAACGCTGCTGGGTAGACATAGCCCAAGAGCTTCCAAGCCAGATTATTTAGTGCTGTATCCCAAGACCTACCTCAAACTCCAGATAGTGGTCTTTCAGTTTGTAGTCATCCACTTCTTTGCCTTTCAGTTTCTTGTCCGGTGGGTAGGAGCGGTGCTCGGCCAGCTCGGTAGAGATTTGCTTCAGCTTAGTTTCATGTGATTTCAGCTGTTCCTCCTTCAGAAACATATTAGTCAGGTGAGTGTCAGAATCTCAACGTGTCAATAGGTACAAAGAAAAAAGACATGCCCCCCCCCCCGTCCCCCAGCATACACTAAATAGCAACTTCCAGCAAGTGGCATTTTTGCAAATGTTTCTTTTTATTTATCAGGCACATTGTTAGAGCCCCATTTTCAAGGGCTTGGCTCCCAGCAGCTCCCAGGCAAGCATCCAGAAGAAGCAAGCAGATTTTTTTTTCAAGTACGCAGCACCCTGCCCCTCCCCAGGCCACACAGGAGAAATTCCCATTCCAGGCTTGGGGGCGGGGGGGGGGGGGGGATGGGGGGGCGCGGG